TCCAAGTTCTGGTTCACGCTATTTGAAGATGAAGGATTGACGAATTCTTCTGGAAGTCAAAATGTCGTACTGGAAACGAGCTCGGATGCAGTGTATCCAACGTCAGCCTTCAATGCATTGAGAATATCAAGTAACAAAAGTCCATTATGATACGTTTGCAGATTATCTATTTGAATCTGGGTCCTATCAAATCAAAATGAACATGGTCGAAACGAGAGTTGGAAGATATGATAGAGGCTAAGGGATATTTGTTGCGCCTAATCACCTTGGATTTCCGTCAGTTTACATGGGAGCGTACCCAAACGCTCATATGTTTATTCATATTCTGCTATAACTTTAATGGTTTCTCGTACACCTCAACGAGCGTGTTCGTGCAGTGTATTAAAGACGTTGCGTCCATTATGTTCAGGCACGGTTAGACGATTCCTACCTGTAGATGTGTCACATAGTAAAGTTTCCCGATCAACGCCCTTCAGCTTGACTTGTAGTTTCAGGATTGTATCGAGTAACTCGTAATGAAGTTCACGGTCTTCCTTTTGAACGTGGACGAGTTCACAGGGTTGAACTCTAGGAAACTGTTCAAATAAGTTATAAGAGACGATGTGTCTATGACTGAATTTTTCGCCAAGAAATATATTGTATACCTGAAGTAATGTGATCGTATTGTCAAGACTCTCGAGTAAAGTAATTTTTTGAGAACAGGTGAAAGGTTTTCAGTCGGAGTATGTAGTGGATTGTCGGCTCTCAATGGACTTCTAAACTTTTCCTGCTGCACAATATTTTGCAAGGATTTGCCTTCCAAAATTGCTGTCTTGCAACTGTCTCGAGAAGAATGTCCAAGGTTGCTAGGTGTTGTTAACCCAATGTTGTAAGACTGCTTCGAAAACTAAGTCTCCTCTATCTATGGTGATATTGATGGGTGTTTACGTATCGTGTTGTGAGAGCACAGTTGATTTTGCAGTAGTTCTCTTCACTTTTAGTCAGAACGCATTATTTTTGCACTTCCCTGGAGTTGTTCATTTGAGGATCTTATGAAATACGCGCTTGTAAACTCAGGGCCATGTTTCTATATAATAGCACCAAGCTTTGATGTCATTAGACCAGAATGACACGAGTTTTAGTCTTGGACATTTTCAGTATGAGTTCCGACACAAAAAAACAAATGCATAAGCATGCTAAAAAACTGTGAGAAACAAAACAATATCACGATACGTAAAAATATAAATATACAGTTTTACAACAAGAAACAGACAGCTTTGTGTTCGCTGTAGCATATCACGTCGAGATATCCGCTAAAGATATCACGAATATTTAGCGTTTAAAAACGCTTTCTTCCGTAATCTAATGATCTCATACCCAGCCAAAATCAAATGTCAGGAGCGAAGGAGTTAAAAAATTTATTTGAAAGGTATTCAACGTGTCGTGCAGTGTTTGATCTTGTGGATCACTAATGCAGATGGTCTGTGTCGAATAACTAGGGGCCGATTACGGTTAGCCAGGAAGAGCATGATCAACTAGCTAAGGTCACAGTCACACCTCACAGTTATTGCCTAATATGGATTACCCCTTCGTCGTATCCATGTGCTAAGGCTGCTCTGACAACCGTACAACTCAAACGACGTTACTAAAGCAATATATTAGTAAGAATAGGTATAGAAAACAGAATGCGACCACTGCTACATGAGGACGTTCGCAGTGCACAATTGTCTGATGAGTGTTGATTGCCGTTGACATTGACGAGGATCGGTGAACTGTCAGACCTTCAGTGAACCGACTGTCGGATGATTTGGCTGGGGCACAGTGACATTTCAATGGTCTTACAATCTAAACTGATTGTTTGTTGCAAGGGATGAGTAGAACAGCGTACCAAATGGTGATCTGGTGAGGATGCTTGTCTGAGCTTATTCAGCTAAGGTGCATCTGGTGAAATTACTGAGGTCAGTGTCAATTTTAACAATTTACAGAAACGCTGATTTTAAGCATATATTTGCTACTACAATGGCACTTGAAAACCTAAATAACGATATCTCAGAGACAAACGAGGCAAATTACAACAAAACACGAAAGGAGTAGTATATTTAGTCGCCGAAAGACACATTGATTTTGAAGATATGGTACGGTTTCGACAAATACTTCGATAATGAAAGACAGGGGCATACATACTCAAAATAATTTTCACCTCAGAGCACCCACAAAATTCCTTCAAATGGTTCAAGTGGTTGTGGACGGAATAGAAGAAGCTTCGGCTTAACAGGCTTCTACGTCTAGTAACAGTGGATCACCAATACCTACAGGCAGAAACCTAGGTATGTTGACGAAAATAAAGGAAAAAATGATATTGGTAAATCATAATAAAATATTATCCTTAGTCCTTAAGAATAGTTCAAGTTTCCTCTTAAAGTACTCCTGAAAAGTCGCTTGGAATAGTTCAGTCAGCCGCGAATTCCAGCACTTGATAACTCTTAGGGAAAAGAAGTTGTGTCTAAAGTCCGTTCTGTTATGTTGTTTTTCCAGTTTCTGAGTGTTACCCTTTAGGTTTGTGTTGGGGCTAAACTTAAGTAGGTGTTTAAGAGGATGAAAAACAGTGTTAAGGATGCTGTAAGCCAATAAAAGGTCACCCCTAAGACATCTATACTCTAATGGGTAAAGGTTAAGTGATTGCAGGCCCTCTTCGTAAAGTCTGAATTTAAGTCCCCGAATCGATTTCGTGACTAGCCTTTGGATACGTTCCAGAGTGTCATTGTTTTTTGGAGTGAGGGAGGAAATAGTATGTTTCTGTACACTAAGTGGGGACGAATAAAACTATTGAAGATTACGTGGAAAGTTCTGCCGTAAAACTAGTCAGGTTTGCTCGAAAGACATTTTTGTACCAGTTGGCTAAAGACTTGAGATCGTAGAGTACCAGCACTCGTAAATTCATTTTAACTTCGAATACTTCTAGTAAGTAGTTTCCTAAGCTATAACTGTAGCCTCTAATATGTCTCAGCTGGACTACTTTACACTTTGAAGTGTTAAAGGTAGGCTCGTTGTCACCTGCCCAACTTTGAATTCGATTCAGACCCTACTGAAGTGCCATTATATCCTCTTGGTTGCATATCTCTCTCCAAAGTTTCACATCATCAGCAGAAAGTACTAAGTCAAACAATACCTGTTGTGGAATATCGTTTATATAAATCGAGAGAAGAGGCTCTAGTACTGAATCATGGGGGACCCCACCAAGACATTCCATAGACTGAGAGAAAGTTAATTTAACACTGACCTTGAAATGTCGATTTCTTTTAATATGAAGCGAGCCGGTCGATTGGAGGTGATTTGATACCCAATCGTTTTAGCTTATTGAGAAGACATATATGGTTAACCCTATGAAAAGCTTTTGAGAAGTCAAGGCAAATAACGTCAACATTCCCCTTGTGATCAAGGATGGTTGTTCATGTGTCCACCACATTCAGCAGGTTGGCTTTACAAGAGTAACCCTCCCTGAGACTATTCTGTTGGGATTTAAGAATAATAAATAGTCGCATATGAGGGACTCCATAATTTTTGAAGGTATGGAAAGAAGAGCCACCGGCCGGTAGCTTGAAGGTTCGCTGCGTCGACCTACTTTGGAAGTTGGCGCGATGTGAGCCGGCTTCCAAATATGCGGTAAGTGTGAGAACATCACGCCAAGCGGTGTTGTCAGGATTACAGCTGCTTCTCGTGGCATAGCAGAATGAGCCATATCCGGACCAGAAGAAGTGTCTTTTCTTCTAGAATCAGGATATGAGTGAATCCGAAACGGGTAGGGCGGGATCATTCTTCCAGCATACTATTGTTGTACTCGATTTCAGCATTGGGCTTCTTGTAGAAGACTTCAACTAGACACCTTGAGGTGGTGGACAATCCTACTGAGCACCATACGGATTCATCAAGACTGATAAACTCCTGGTTGTGCACTTGTTGAACATCTAGGCAATATCGTAAGTAAAAAGCTACGCCACTCTCAATTCTTGTTTTTCTGTCATTGCAAAACGAAAACATCCCGGGTATTGCTAGACCCTGGTCCGTAAACTGAGAAGATATCCAAGTTACGGATATACCTATCAGATGAGCATTATTGGCATCGCTAAATTCACGTAGCTAATCCATTCTATTCGGTCAACTAGCGGCGTTCATGTATAAGCAGTTTGTAATTTCAATTTGAAACGAGTGAGCTTCACCGTCCTGTGTGTCCGTATGAGTCTCACGTGAATGGACAGGTAGGCTACCTATGCAATGTTTTTCGAGTTGACAGTCTGTCCGTTACACGTTTTTTACAATCAAGACAGTCCACAAGTGAAATGGTCAGCTCTAACTCGACTTTGTGCTTAATCCTGGCGTCCTGTGGCCTATCCGGATGCATATGGATCCCAGTCATACTGCATTCTGTGAGCACAGAATGCTTCCAGAGTAGCCGCCGCCATATAGGAGGATGGGAAAGTTATCTTCAATAGCCGGGGCCTAGAATCTCCGTCCTTCTTGGCTCAACTCACCACTTGTTGAGTCAGTATGTTTTTGAGCTTCAAGGATCGCTCGGTGAATTTCCATTCCCTAATATCAGGGCTTGAGTGACCAGGGACCTTTTTTTTCCGGCACACCTTGCACAGTGGTATTTCGTCGGCGGAAAAACTCGAGAGATACTTTAGGGTGTTCCGGATGAGATTGCTCTCAGAATACGATATGCAAGGCAGTATTCTTACATTCTCGTCTGATTTCAATAAGTGATTAACTAATAGGGTATACAATACTTCGGTAGCGTTAGTGATTGTTACACGAAGTAGCTTCGGGTGATTTTGATGCTTAGAGATCTTTCCCCTAGTGAGACGTGTGACCGTCAAGGGATCACCTTAGATGGTACTCACAGATTCCAGGATAATGATTCAATCCATGAAATTAAATGTCCTGGCTTTTGATAGGGTGCATGTGGATAACTTATCAAGCACAAACAGCATTGAAACATTCAATGCAATCTGAATTAGGAGCTTGTAAAATCAACCAATGACATTTGTGCGTAGCACTTGAAGGCTTAACGACTTTAGACGTTACTGTAGACGTGTGAAGCGCTAGTGTTTATTGGTTTTACATATTTCTGTCAATAGTAAGTAGCTTTCAAGAGTTTTGAAGTCGTAGTATTTTACTTTTGTGGTCAAATTTATATGACTAATTACAAGATAGTTGGAAACGACTCAGTTGAGAATTCCACAGTTCAAGCTTGTAGGGAGGACTGGACTAATATAGGTTACCGTAGTAAATAACCCGCACATTTGGTTAAGCAACTTTTAGGATTCAAGAATTCCAACCACTAAGTAGTCCATATTTTTTCGGACAGTAAATAAATATAATACAATACATAAGCTAATAAATGTAGGGAATGGAATTACTGACCATCTCGCAAAGTACTTGGATATTGCAAATGCTAGGGTTTGGTTGTTTAATTCTAAAGGTCCGTTTTCTGTACCAGATTGCGAAAGATCGAAAATCTTGCACAAAGAGTATTTCAGTGGGTTGGGACACGATTTTTACCAAGATCCAGCACTAGTTTATACCTGGTGGTGTGATGTATTAAAACTCTAAATAGTTAGTGCTTGTCTAAACAGTTTTTGTTGTTGACTGGATAGCCAAAAAGCGTTCGTTTAACCTTCTCGTAATCCGTTTGGGAAGAGTGATTACTGCAAAGCCTCTTGTAATGTCCTCTTTCAGGACCATAACATAACCGAATATATGACTAAGCATTACACGGCTTGTGCTACATTCTGTTAGTAAGATGTAGGACTTTATGCACATATTCCTGTCATAATACATCCGTCTAGGTGGTTAGGGTCTAATTTGTATACATTAACTTATGAAGCAGGTACTTTCGAATATTTTATACGTGATTGATATAATTTCTTATAGTTCCTTTTTATTATACTGATAGGCAGATAATGTGGTTTGTCACAGTCGTAACATTTTACATTGATATTTAGGTTGAGATAAAGGCGATATAAAGCTAGATATTATATCACAAATAATCGTAAATATCTAAAAAAAGATCAGGTACAAACAGATTATCAATCATACGGTCTTCAAGATTTGAAGAAATATGGTGATATAGTATGATTATTGTGTCTTACATCCTCAAGATCGTGTTAATGATATGGTCCAGACTCCCGATTTGTTTTCATAAATAGTAAGGGTAATTTTATATTATGTTCCGAATTTCGGCCTTAGTTCTTCAAACTATCAGTCAGTGTGACCTAATTTATAACAGCTTAACGTAAACTCGTCAAATGGATGCACATTGTGCTATATTTAACATTAATTATAAAGTACTGATTTGGCCATTGCACTTGGATTCCTACACCTGAGTTGCGAGTTCGATTTCAATTCTACCTATTGGATTTTAGGCAGCCTGTAGGAACACTAGACTGACTAAAAGGGTCGTTGGAAATCAAGTATACAGATTTGGACTTGAAGACTGAGTTACATTATTATTACTGTAACGATCCTTGGACTAAACATTACCAGATTCCTCAACCAATGCATAGTTTGGATTTGAAAGTCACTAGTTTGAAGTTGGACCATCATATGATTAATTATGACTACCTGTTTATGCATCATATGGTGTCTGCCGAAGTTGAATCTCTAATATATTACAGATTAAGCAACGTTACTGTGTAGTCAGGCAGTTCAGTGTTACTGAAGTAAATTCAGACTTAACTGAGCTGAAATAGTTGTACTTATTTTCATTTTTCTTCTACAGTATATATTTTCTCACTTATCCTCCCTAAATTTAGCATATAAAATGGTTATCATTCATACTACAGTTCACATTGGGGAATCTTCATAAAATACAACTATCAGTATCACTACCAAACACGGAAAAGTAATTTTGTGATTATAGGTTGGATGATTTTTCATAACTTCTAACAGTACATTACAAGTTTACCACAATTAAATTCGTCCTTCGTTTAATTGGTAATTCTGAAAAAGTTCATACGTACCAAAAAGCGTCGAATGCAGTCATTCATCCGGATTAATTTCGTTTCTCTAGAAAAGTTGTCATGTCTTAAGTTGATGTAATGATTTGTTTTCGCAATATACTAATGTGTACGCATCAGTTTCTAATATTCTGATAAATATTTTTCTTAGTAATAAATAACTGGTTTGTTTGTTTTTCATTATGACTTATTGTTTGTTTGTGTCTAAGGTTTTACAATGACATCGTGCCCGTTTTTGCGTAAATTGTCTCCTACTGTGATTCAAAGAGATATTCAACAGTTGATCCAATTAATACCAAGATGTCCGTTTGCTAGGCGTTTGTTTGATGGAACACCACTTTCCAGTCCTAGAATGTATTCAGATGTCGCTATGGAGCGTCAGTCAGATGAATCATCAGTTTGTAGTAAGCCCTTATCTCTTTTATCGCCTATATTTCTATATTTTTACTTCTTGTGGCCAGACAGGTCTATTTTCTGGTTTTCCTCAAATGAAAACTGTGGACAATCCACAGAAATACATGTCTTATCCAGTGGCAGTCAATTCAATCCTTCACCTTAACGTAGTTGTAAGGTTTGTGGTCAGAATTTTTATGCATATTATCCAAACTCGTTTTATTGTCCTAGTTTTAACCTAGCTGTCTTAATAAAGATGAAACGGAATATTTGTAAGACAAAATATTTAAATGTCTTCGCCTAAGTATTCCATGAACTAAAATGCGTTTTTGCTAACTTTAAAGACTTAGATTTAATTGTTTTGAAATAAAGCGTTATCTTAAAGTATACGAAGTAAAATAAGCTGATGTATATAATTTGTAAAATTCCCCCAGAAATGTGATGCGAATCGCACAACAGAACATTCAATGAATAAATACTGGAAAGCATATTTCTATAGTTTTTCATATTCACAAGGAGCGAACGAGAAGGCTGGCAGCACTGTTTCCAACCAATTTGGTATAAAACTTCTAGTCTTAAATTAATATCTGAAGTTACTATAGCCCTCGTGTATATCAAGTGAAAATACTCGGAGATAGGAACCATTTCATCTAAAACTACGTGAATTCGTTAAGTTTCTTCCAGTTTATAGTGACTTATATATGATGGTGGTATAGTTGTTAATTCGTTTGACTTATAACCCTTTAGGCTGAGGTTCGAACCCCACATGGCCTTTTTATCTCTGCTCATTTTAGTGTTGTTTCCAAATCTCTTACTGTTTGACTCAAGTTCGATATGTAAACCTGTAATTATTGGATTTACATTACGACATATAATGTCCAAACAGGAGTTCAGCGTGAAACCATTTATTGAATAGATTTATCATAGCTTATGAATTCATGATTACTGGATTCAAATAAGAATAACATAAATACACATCTTCAAATACCTCTTTTTGAGCCCGTTTCACAATAAGTAACATATTTACTTTATGAACCAAGTTCATTTGAACACAATTTGATAGTTGTCTTCACGATCCTACATTTATTAATGTTAATTTCGATTATTTCCCAGAAGTTCAAATCAGACAATCGTTGAAATTTCATACAGATGTGGTTGGGTCTTATATATTTTCTGTATAATCACGACTATTCAAGAACTATTTGTTTAAGTTTTGACGAAATGTTTATGAGCTAAATTCTTATTTTTGGTATGGATAGTTCTGTCTCAAATTCTGTCTTGTCTTAAGTTTCATTTAACTGTAAATCAACTCATCAGGTAATCGGATTTCAGCTACATTTAAAGTGATTGTTAGTAATCTTACTACCCGGTTACCAAAAACAAAGTAGGGGAAGCGGGGTTTGAACCTTGGATATAGTGGCCGAAAGTCGAACGCCTTAACTGCTAAACCACCCCTTTCATACTTTGAACCGGGCATTCCCATTTAGTAATATTTGGAAAATTACTTCAGGGTTATTCATAAATAGCATGAAACTTATTCCGATAATCATGCCTATATTTGTTTATTAAGTTATGAATTGAATTTGTCATGTAATATGGGGACAACTTTCACCAGCTGCATATATATATGTAATTGTAATGGTGTATTTGAACTCTTTGTTGAAAGTTTTGTATTTGGACCAATGAACTAGCAGGGGCTTACTTTTTTCTGCAAAACGATAAACCGTATTAATACAGTTAACAGAAAGTGATTATTGTTATTTGATGACTGATATAAAAATTAACAGCGTCTTGAGACCATATAACCCAATGACTAAGTACGAGTTTATGTACCCACCTATGAGCCACACATTGTTGAAGGGATAGTGACACTGTGGTTGGCTAAGCTGAAATAGATGGAACATTATTCGAACCTGCTACTCGTTAAGAAGTCACATTCTTTAATCACTATACCCTCGCTCCAGAACCTGACATTTAATGTTCAGTCAACAAAATTAACACATTTATTTGGTCATCGTTATTAATTGTCAGCTTTGTATGTTACCCTTTCTATAAATATTTTTTCCATCTAGTTTGTTATCGAATTAATCCTGTATTTTAGAGAATGTCTCAGAGTGCTTATTGAAAAAATGTCCTTTTACGGTCAATTCATATGAGTCAACATGTTCAAATGATTATCTGTGCGCCCAAACCTCTAATAATCACGAAAACGAGATGTATCAAAACCAGTTATGTGGGATTTCTGATGGTAAGTTGAATGATTATTTGGAAGATATAAATATATTGCAGAACGTATATCAATTACTTAAAAATTGTTTTTATATTAAAACACATAAAGAACGAATACACTTCGTGTTAAATTCTCATTAATTTCTGTCATGAGCTCACCTTGTTTGCAGGGTTCGGTGTGCATACTTTTCTATATACAAATTACTATTTCAGAATTGTGAATAAAGTAACCCAGTAGTTCTACGTGTTATCTATAGTACGATGTGTTATTTCTTGATAAACACCAGCTTTGTATTTTACAGTTTACATCACATCGTAAACTTGGTTAAACAACTTATAAAAGAGCAGAAAGAAGTGAACGGCCGTTTTGTCCTAGTATGAGATTCCTTAGCAGTAGGTATCCACGGCCCAATCAGAGGTTGAACTTAAGACCTTTAGATCTCACAGCAAATAGCTAACCTTTAGACCACTGATTCAGTGTTTTGTTCGTACTAATTTGTAAAAAAAAAACTATTCATTACAATGTTAGTATCTAAAAGCGTTCTTTTTTGATTATATTTTTTATTTATTCTTTTTGTAGACATATGTATTCCAAACACGTGCGCCTTATTCGCTGGTTGGCAAAAGAGTATAGTTGCGAGAAAAAGTCTTCAGCCAACAACAGACATAACGATAAAGAACGCTGATCCAGAACATTCTCAAACAATCGATTCGGTGCGTAATGATGGTGATAGCTGCCTAGGTTTCAATTATAATAAGTTTTTCGTGTCTGAAGTAGAAAGAAAAAAAAGAGATTCTACTTATCGAGTATTTAGGAGAATTTTAAGAGACGCATCTGAATTTCCGTTTGCAGATGATTATTCTAGTGGTATGAAACGTCGTGTAGCTGTCTGGTGTTCCAACGATTATTTGGGAATGAGTTGGCATCCTAAAGTTCAAGAAGCTGCCATGTAAGTGTTGCTTTTTTATTCCCTTCAGTTATTTGTGATTGTTATGAACTTTTAGTGGACAAATCACATTGACATAACCTTATCAATGCTGACACCAATATGGCGAACAGATGTTAGGTATGTTACTTAGAGGCTATAATGTTTGGGTGGTGACTTACAAAAGACCTTTATCTTATAATTGTTCATCTCCCAAATATTTTATAGTTTCCTTTCACAGATAACCAACTGTGTTATTTCTGTAATCGTAAGTTTTGTAAACTAGTTATTCTATTTCATAGTGTGGTATGTGCTACTGATGTCAACAGATATAAGTAGTATGTATCGTCAATCGAAAGTGCAATGTTTAGAGACAGAAGGTTAAGAGGATCGAATAAAGAGAACGAGAACAAATAACGATTGGTGTGGAAACGAAAGTACAATGAAGTCTGAGACAGTTGATTGACATTTTGCAAAAGGAACAGTCAATTTTGAGACAGTTGATTGACATTTTGCAAATGAAGTATTCACTGTATAGTTCTCAGATTTTACTAAAATTTTCTGTAATTTTGTGTTCAAATACATTCGATTGTGCCCACTTGTCTTCTCGTTCACTACAATAGTACCTGTTCATTTAAAGACTTTGTGGTATAAATGTGGTTATTATTATTATTATTATTACTATTACTATTATTATTATTATTATTAGCAGTAGTAGTAGTAGTAGTCAGTAAATCGTCAAAATTCTGCTACTACATAGTAATTGGTACTCAGTCTTAGTTAAACACATACTTTTTCCTTTCATATTAAACACAGATTAACGTTGGATTATTTGTAAAAGAAAATCCAACTTCATTTCTATGACAACTATATTATGTTCAAACAGTGTAGTGTCACAATTAAGTATATTAGAAATATGTACTATATGGTATGTGCTATAATATGCATTCTGACCAATATAATCTCACAATTCATGAAGGTACTTTTATCTCAAAAATAAAAGGTCAGGCTATACAAGTGGAGACGTGAATAACAAGGATAATAAGGTAAAGCGTGAATCAAAGCCCATTGAAAATCCAATTAAAATTAATATTTTAATGTAATATCCATAGTGCTATGATTTTTTTCCATCAATTCTTGTTTTTCACGTGTTTCCACCTGTATACTCTGACCTTTCATTTCTGAATTACGTATATCATCATGTACAAAAAAGTTATCACTTAGCACAAACACGACGAAGTATATTAATAAATTAATGTTAGATCAAACTGTTCAAGAGAAATGGTGGTGTGGCGTGAAATTCTTACCGTTATTAATGAAATCGAAAGTCTCTTTTTTGTTTAATTTGGTGTTTATTTCTCAACCCCTACACTCTCATGAACAAAATAAGATGACCTGGTAGATGAAATTTCAGAAATCAACTAAATTGTAAGGGTAGTTTCATTCAGTTAAAGCACAACAGTTCTGCAAATCAAATAATTTTAGTATTCAATGAGTAATTGTAAAATTCTATTTAACAAGAGTATGTTATTGCTTGTAAGTGTAGTAATGACAAATTAAATACTTATAGAATAATTGATGAAACTAATAGTTCAATTAAATTAATTTAACATGTGGCTCAAAATCGTTTGCAATGGCGCAGGTGCATACACTCTTTGTGTTCTCCCAAATTTTGATCTCCTTATTCCTCCTCGTCTCTTTTTTTCTCTTCCCAAATTTATTTCACTGTATTATACTCTTTAAGTAAAATCTGCAAACACTAATCTTCCCGATTACTGCTTATACTCTTATTACCTCTACCACTACGGGATTTGAATCGACCACTGCATCTCTGTGCTAATGTGGTGTGGCAAATCGAATTGATGTACGTACGTACGAAGTTCTACGTTGCTACTGACTGACATGTGTAATGGGATAAGTTATATATCACTATGTTAATCTCTTTTATAAAAACTGCTTGCCATACAAATTAATAAGATGGATTACCTGATATGTGGAATTGCATTATAATATATCAGAATTGTGAAGAATTTTGTTTGAAGCTCATGAACGATGCTAAATTCGTTCCGGATATTCTATTCTCATGGTTCCCATGAGTGAAACAGAATTCGACAGAATGTTCTAGTTATAACGATATAAAGTATAACCGATCTACCCAATGACCTATGCGACTGCGCTTATAAATGATATTTATTTTCGGTCGTCTTATTATACTGAGCACAACTACTGTTTAAGGTAAATCTGATTTTGTATTCCCCACTCGTGACATTTACTTACTAAAATCATATGAACAACCAACAGTCACTTCACTTATTTACACAGTTTCATTGTCTGATCTGCCTGATTGAGTCTTCTACAATACTTTTACCGTGGTACATCATTCCAATTGATCTTTCACTAAGTACCCTATTATCTAGACTTTCCGTTTGTCTATACATTTATTGCGTTTCTCCCTTATAGTTAGAAAAATACAATAGATCAATCTAAGTTAAAACACTACATATATTAGAATTATGTTTTTTTTAAGAATAAAGGGTATAATTTATCTTATAGGATTTTATATTACCCACATATATAGGTATGGAGGAAGTAATAAACTACAGATGAATTTCTTGAATAAGTCCTTGTACTGTCGCACACGGTCTTAACAGGGATATGGTCAAAACAGGTATCTATATAAACATAGTCAATAAATATAATTTGGTTTCTAAAATGTAAGTTAATAAAATTAAGATCATGAAGTGACCAATGTTAGGCCACCATTGAAAACCTGGAAGCACTGGACGAGCGTCTATTCCTAATATGGGACTCCTCATCAGGGCGTATCCACAACCCCTCACGCGGGATCCGAACCCAGGACTTTCGGTTTGGCGGTAGAACGCAACCTTATACTGATGATTATCATGTGCTCACTAGTCACTAGCTTTGAGAGGTAATTCTCAGAGTTCTAGTAAGAAGCCTTAACCAGTGGGACTAATCTGTATTGGTGTAAGGCAGTTACCGAAGACAATAAAAAATGGTCGTGCAATATTTTGGATTAGTTGGAATTAGACATTAACATTGTTGGATGCCGGCTCAGTTATCTGGAGTTCAAGCGTCCGCGCGCGAGACTGAAAGCCCTGGATTCGAGTCCCTTGTTAGGGATCGTGCTGCTAAGGAATCCCATACTAGGACGAAACGGTTTTCTAGTCTCTTCAGGTTTTCGATGGTGGTTTAACATTGATCAGTTCATGATCTCAATTAAAACTCAACAATCTCCACAACCCTATACAGATAATACAATTAGTGCACACACATACTGAATAATATCAGTGAAACAACAAAATGAATGAATAACAAGGATTAGTCATGTTCATATGACTGGAGCAATTTCATAATTGTTTTCTTGATTTAATCACCCATATAACAACGAATTTTCCTATAAAACATTTTTTAGTTCTACCATACGTAAACATGGTGTTGGTTCAGGTGGAACACGTAATATATCTGGTAACTCATTGTTACATGAATCATTAGAAGCTGAATTGTCAGATCTTCATGGAAAACCTGCAGCTTTAATATTTACAAGTTGTTACGTAGCTAATGAAGCTGTATTACATACTTTAGGAACTCGTATACCGGAATTAACAATAATCTCTGATGCTGGTAATCATGCATCAATGATACATGGGATTCGAACTAGTCGTTGTCCAAAAATTATCTATAGACATAATGATGTGAAACACTTAACTTCGTTACTTGCAAATATACCTAAGGATTCGCCGAAACTAATTGCTTTTGAAACAGTCCATTCAATGTCAGGTAACTAACTATGTTGATTTCTTACATATTTAACATTGAAAAAGTTTTTATAATTGTCACTTCTGTTAGTTTTCCGTTCATAGGTTTAAATGATAATAGTGTACTAATCTTTTTGACTTTCCGTTTTAAAATCGGCAAAAAAACAATAACTTTAGAATAAATTTAAAACAATATATTCTACTTATCATGTATTCACTATTTAAAATATCTTAAATAAGGAGGTTACTTTGTGTAATATGGTCTTTTAATCGTTAAACACATGTATCCTGAAGACTTTAATAATTACTGTTCAATATAGACTGGTTACAAAATATTCACTGAATAAACTTTGGCAATTAATAAATATTTTTTTACACTCTGATTATTCTGTAATAGTAGACTACACATAAAATTATTAAAAATGCCTACATTTTAATCGACTTATATTCTTGTAAATAGTCTAATAATGTTTCAGTAATAGGCGTGATGACTATCGGACACAAAAGAAAAAGATTTCGTAAAGTAGTATGTCATTTACAAGCTTCCATACGTCACACGCTTGACGTAACTTATTTATCAGGTACAACGTCGCGTACTCAGTTTGAGATGAACTGTTTATACCAAGAGGATCAATGGTATTACTACCAGGCTTCTCAAACCAATGTAGATGCCGCGCAGGGTTTCGATATATAGCCTGCTGCTTGAAAGTTTAAGCCTTTGACCAACAAGCCCACCATTTTATAAATTGAAATAGGAAAATTATTTTAATAAGGTCAATAAGAATAAAGTAGGAAAATGAAAAACATTTGACACGTAAATTAATATCCTTAGATAAATAGGTGTCTGTCACTCATAGTAAGTTAAAGAATAGTGATGTGGTACTGGTGGGTTTTAAGGTAAAACATGTAAAGTTCCTAATCTGACTAAAAGCGAGCCATGGAGTCGAACTAATAAATTCACAGTCCTCTCATGCGGCTCACGCTACTAATAAAAATTTCAGGGATTCATTTTATTTTTAGACAAACACATTTAAATTTTATTCACACTAGTCCTACAGTTATATCCTGTTGAGGTAATTGATAGATGGAAATCTGCATATTGCATTTAACTCGGTCAATCAAGATTCACTATAATATTAACCCAATGCCTTTCTTATCTAATACTTCGCGTTTTTAACATTCACAGCGAACATCCGGCTTTGAGTGTTGTAAAGCAGTCTCCTGGAGTGTCATCCTAGATAGTATGTACGAATTTTTAAATAACCCACTTCTTAGTGTACTCGCAAGTAATGGTATCTGGCATTCCTGCAAACTGCTTATGTTTCTTCAGTTTTAACCGAATATGTGATGCTACCAGCAGAATTATAGCCTCGCTGGTAAATTTCAGTTTTGGTCTTGACTTCAAGAAACAATAACTATCGCTCATTAAAATTTCCAGAAGAGAGTGCTGGTCATTTATAACAGCTTCACTGATAATACATTTCAGTAAGACTTACAACGCAGTTATTTACGATAGTAGTTATTCTTCTCAGTGGACCTCCCTATCTTAGTACGGATTGATTGGTCACATTCTGTAGTTATTATTATCCATCTCTTTGTACGATAAGCAGTTTGTGGTCAAAAATGGTCAATATCGTGACTGGAGCACAACGTAGTGGCTAAATCTCATTTACTAATAATCACTCAACTAAAATCTATACTAAATACTGTCTGAAAACTGATTCATGTAGAAGTACTGTATATTTCGTTTAAGCCATATTTTGTTTTAGAACCTATCTATCCTTTCTTATACCACACGATCTCTTACCGTTTCAATTAAATATTATTATCATTGATTTCATTGTTATTTAACATTTATGGAGCGAATTTTCATTCACCTACAAACTGTTATATTTAAATATTTAAAAGCTATTTATTTTTATAATCATAGGTGATGTTTGCCCATTGAAGAATTTATTAGATGTTGCTGAAGCTAATAAGGCACTCTCATTTGTTGATGAAGTTCACGCTGTTGGTTTATACGGTGCACATGGAGCTGGAGTTGCTGAACGTGATGGTCAGATGCATAGGATAGATGCAATTACGGGTACACTTGGAAAGGTTTGCTAATTATATTAAACAGTTATTTGTACTTTTCACATACCTGTAGTTTAAACAATCTTGTTAAATTTATACTCAAGCATTAAACTTGCACTGAGAGATTTTAGAAAAAGGTGGTAGATCAAATTTCGCAGTGCACGTCATCTGATAGTATGTATGAGATGCACGTACGTACTATCCATGAATTGAGATTCATGTTAATTGTATAGTAACACTGCGTAAATCATGAAAAGTCTTAGGTCATTGGTAACTAGTTTGATAGTTTACAAACTAATTTTTTATCATTTACTACTTGTATTGTAGTTTGTTCACGTACGAAATGACCATCTTTTCGTTTCATGTTTAATTCACGTGACCATCACTGACAGCAAAAATACATGACAATAAATCAAAAGGTTAACCGGTTATGATGCTATCGCTCGCTAAATCTTATCATTTTACATAATAATACGTTCATCATAAAATGTTTCCAAACCAAATATTACTTTCCTGATCAATGTTATGTGTAATTTCATGATTATCGCTAATTTTATTGTCTATTTTCGTATTCGCAGGCTTTTGCTAGTATCGGAGGCTATTTAGCAGGAAGTTCTGAACTAGTTGATATGATCCGATCTTATGCTTCTGGATTTATATTTACTACTTCACTACCACCACATTCCTTGGCTGCTGCCCAAACAAGTATTCAAATTTTGAAATCTTCTGAAGGAAAAGAACTTCGTGCAGAACACCAAAAACGAGTATCTATCGTACGCCAAAGTCTCCGTCAAGCAGGATTGCCTGTGATTGAAGCGCCGTCACATATTATTCCGCTACATGTAAGTTTATATTTTTCTAATTTGATAATTTTTATGTTTCATTAGTACTTTGATCTGACTAACAAAGCCCGAGTGTGTGAGAACTAATCTATTAAGTGCAAGTAGGTAATTACATAACAATTAGTCGAGTCCATTTGCAACAGCCTATGCTAATTAACTAATTAACTTACCGATTCGAATAGGAATTTAAACTAGTAAGTTTCAACTCATTGGTTTAGGCATTTGAATTTATCCAATAGGTAATAGCTTCAATTCAAAGTAGTTTTAACCATCAGTTAATCTGCAGTACTGGAAGAAATACAAGAAATACACGCTTTTGTGTCATTAAATTTGTTCTAGGAATAAAAGAACTTTCTGACCCATCAGTCGATGATTGATCTAAATGAATACAAATTTGATAATGATCTGTTAGTGTTTCACATTTTCATTTATAGAAATATGTATACAGTTTTAATTATTTGATTTTTACACTATTATAAGTGTTTTATAATTTATCTGTATTAATAGGTCGGTGAAGCGAAACTATGTACGAAAATATCAGAAGAACTGTTATCCGAACATAATATATATGTGCAATCGATAAATTACCCAACTGTAGACATAGGAGATGAACGTTTGCGTATTGCACCCACACCGCATCATACAGATAAACTAACTGAAGAACTAGTGGATTCTTTATGTATGGTATGGAAAAAATACAATTTACCTTTGAATGTTGAATCAGCAAGAAAAATCACCCGACAAGCTGGTTAACATTGAAGATAAACAAATTATTAATATTATTTGATTGTTAGTTTAAAGTAGGTGATCAAACACAAATTCGATTGTTTAGTTTTATTTATTTCTTCACCAGTCATTTTCAGTCATGTAAAAGAATGTCTACTTAATTTGAATAAAATGTTAGTTTAACAATTAACAATGCTTTATTTCTCTTTTTAAACAATCAATGATAAAACAGTTTGGTTTGTACAAAATAAAGCAGTCTGTCCAATGTTATGGTTACAATCATTTCAGTCTGATATAGGACGTTTATACCAAAATCTTGCACGATTATCATCACTACAGGACATAAATGCCGCTGTTGTTGGTGAATGTACAAAACATCGAATTGGCCCGTTATGATCTATTACAGAGAAAAAAATTAGGTAAAAGCATTTAACCAATATAGTACAAGGTAGTTAATGATAAATATAACAGCGTGAATGAACTAGGTTTTATGTAAATAAACTACTTTGTATCACTGTAGTCTGTTTGATATACAATAGTGAAAGGAGGTTAAAATGATTTTCCCGTCGCTTTAAAATAAATCTTAAGCTGCAAAAGCGAATTGATCGTAAACTGATAAACGGTTCACGCAATGATTCATTCATAATGAATAAACTTTTACGTTACTTATAACTTGGTAGATTTTCTAAATTTTAATTAAAAAAACTATTGTCACTGTGTATAAACTTACTAAGGGCTAATAAACGCTGTCTGTCAGCATTACGTGAATCCCAACAACACAGGCTTTTTGTTGCTTCGTCTGGGAATAGTACTATACAGAGAAAAACAATAAATATAATTGTATGCTTGAATTAATGCTAAAATAAGTGCGATAATAGTCACATTAAAAAATACGACTTTTCTAAGTACGGCTACAAGTAGGCATTGATGAAATAATTTCAAATGACCTATTTCTCCTACAAAGTTCCAACTGATTTCTTTTTAAATTTACCTGCAAATATCAAACATGGTTATTAAAAGCGGAAGACATTCAAGACACTCGATGTTTTCGAAGCATTTCGTACATATAATGAAATCGCTTTGTAAATATTATCACTCTTACGTAATGAATACCACTACTAAGGGTAGAATATTATTGAAGTAGACATCGGTCGGGAAATGTCTCTCGGACGATTAATTAAAGTCCATGATTTTAATCCCTTGATAACTTCTAACAAGTAGGTCGGAAAACACAGTAGATGTAATATTTTGCAACGGGAATTAACTAGTAGGAATGTGTTAGTTACATAGCACTAACATACTAACGAAAGTCACGGTAGTAATTGTTGTCGTGTAAACCTCAACTCTTTTACATGCAGATGAAGTATCCCTACTTCACCACTAGTTTTATGGTATCTAAGTTCTCTCATGACTTATCTTTGGTATTCGGGATGAGTATAATACGAACTTGTGTTATCCACTGGTATTTTCCATCGTAACAATGCAACGGTCAGTTGTAGTTAACGTAGGATATGGCACAAGTGTCTCGGTTCAAGCTGGCACATCAGCGCAGAAAAAAATAGGATTAATAACATCAAAAGCGTAGAAAGTTAAACAATATAAAAAACAAATGAAAGCCAAACATGAGAACTACAACGTGTATTAATCGGTCAACCTACCATAATCTTCTGTGTGATTAAAGACAGCCATTGATCTGTGTGTTTGATGTCCTACTGTACCTGCTCCAGTGTAGGTTATAAGACATCGTCCAGTGGCCAATTCCCATAGTTTAACTGCACTGTCTTTACCGGAACTAAGGATATACTAAAAATGGAAATATGCACACTGTAAATTTTTTATTACAAATGAAAAATGATACAATTATATCACAATGAGTATTGTTTTCAACTTGGAAAGCCTCTAAAACTGAGATAGAACCGGCCAGTGTAGGGTAGACTACAATATAAAACTAACGATGAATTTTGATAAGTTTTCCGACAGTCAGCCTTAATTCAGCAGTGTAGCTAGGTTGATTCAGTGTTTTGTGTCACCACTACAAGCAACATACTATCTTGGGTTACAACATCAAAATACTTATTTGTGTTATATAAAGAATCTCATAAAATCCATTTGCGGAAATTTTATCTAGGATTGAGTAAGTCAAATGCAACGTAGAACCTGGCACATGCATACATTGCTTCACGTTGACATAACACATTAGCACAGAAATGAAGTCGTCAGGGAAAATCTCAGAGTAATAGAGATAGTAACAGTATTGATGGCGATGGGAAAGCTCAAGCATTGAGGATACGATTTGGTAAAAATAAAAACTGGCGAAATAATAAACAAAAAGAATTTATGAGGGATTAAAAAACTTAGGATCTAATGGAAGGTTAATAGTGGGTATATTTGCACCGTTACGAACGACTTTGTGCTATGATATTGAAAGTCTCTAACCATTTGGTTGTAATAATCACACGGACATCAACTAGGTAGTCTACACCTGCCCACATGTCCTAAGATTGATAAAATGTACTGTGTATTATAGAGATAGTCAGTAGTTAAGCACATTTTAAAGCTTTTGGAAAACTCGATTTTTTGCTTGTTCAGTAAACTTTTTTTTTAAAAGTTGAAAACGCTGATGTACAACTTTGCCCTAAGAGAAATACCTAAAAATCGTAACTACCGTTTTTATTAGCGTGCTGTTAAAAGTATGGATAACTCAAACGAACTCGTAACCTTATACTCGACATAGAAGTAATACTAGGATGCGTAAGTACTTGAAAGAAATGCGAAACTTTAAATAACGACTCAACATTTTGAATGACACAGAAAACGAATTAATGATAAGGGTTCTAGGCTCTACAGTAAATAAATGCATTTCTCTTAAGTGTATGACCGATTACCAATTCTCATTCATTATTAATTTGAATGAAGTGTTGATCACTTTGTAAAAATTCCAAGCATTTACAAAAACCCAATTGTTCAAGCAAAAGAATTGCACATACTGACACTTCTGATGAGTATTTTCGAATTATACTAAGTTAAATGTATGGTACCATATTTACATGTGGCATTTCCCACCAATGCTACGAGTGGTTCACTTAGTGAGATTGGAATATAAGATAGATTGGACTATTTGGTTCACATAAACCAACAAATAATCGATAGAATCTATTTGATAAGAATCGTATTTAGTGACTAATGGATCGATCACTCAACAAATTAAGGAGTATTGATGATATTATTCACTACATTATGCACAAGGTATCTCTGCGAAATAAAGTGTAATATTGTCCCAAAATGATATTCAAATATAGATATAAAGGGAAGCATATTCAAACTTTTGACATACTTTTCCATTACGTGAAAAAACTACAGAACACACAGGTGCACCATCATGTGCAGCTTCAAATGTGTTAACACATCTACATGAAACTCCATCCCAAATCTTGAAGCTGCCATCCATCCCAGCAGTAACAAAGGCAGTTCCATTCGGTGACCACCGAACCATATTAACTGCACTAAGATGTTGGTCTTCTGGAACGGCGGATACATAGCAACGACAGGTTTGTACATCATATAAACGAACTATAATAGGGAAAATGTAGTTGTAAAATAAGAAATATAGCAGTCATGCATTATTCAGAACAATAAAAAGAAACACCCTTTGATATAGATCCTAGGAGCAAATACTGTGGCTGAAAAAAAGAATGGACATCAGAAAGCCCTCCTCATGGTTTTTTTCGTATTCTGATGAGATACGAGAAATCGATTATGTGTAATAACTAACATCATGTTTGGTAGATCTCCTAATCAGTTTCTCTAAAATACATAAATAGAAAATGTGCTTGGAAATTTTTAATTTTTCCCAGATAGTATCAAAAGTTCGACTGGCTTACATGACTAACCAGTCGATTTTGTTACTATCTTCTGATAAATCCATTTTTACGTTCTTAGGGAAAAATATCTCTTACAACCAGTTTGAGAAGACTGCTTAGTTCGTAAATTCAACTTGACTACCACCTTCACTTTAAATGAAAAGAATTATGAGATGTATTGATGATTTATACAGTAGATTGCCCATTAAAGGATCATTGCACTCCAAACATACTACTGAGGTAAATATTTACAGATGTGTTTATTTTATTATTTTATTTTAACACATAGATATTGGTACAAGGAGGCACCAAATACATATGCGCCACACAGATCTCATTTGATATGTGTGAAGGCTGTGATACTGCTCGGTTGCTCAAACCGAAGCAGGTGGTTTTCTTAGGGGGCCACACCCGGAGCCTTTGACCTAAAGGTCTTATTCACAAGGCAGTAGAGTATCGTAAGGAGATGTAGTCCCATGGTAGCCGGTGACCAACGATTGGTTCATACTTTATTTGTTCCTTCAGGATACTGGAGCCCATGTGCACTAGTGGTTTGGAACCAGGGTTTCCCAACTCCCCTAAGTGGACTCTCCATGTCCACCAACCCGGTTAAAGCGCCAGACATTCGCTTTTTGTTCTTTCACTTCCGTAAACAACAGCCCCGCCACGAGAAGGCAGTGAGTAGGACTTCTCTGGCAGAGGCTATATGCGCGTGGTCATGTGAGAGCCATTTCGAGAGGAAGAACGGACTCTATCCACTCTCCGCCGTACCCGGGCATTTGGGAGCACAGATGTGTTTGAGTAATAAACTATGATTTAACAATCGAATCAAATATGATTTAGACCGTTGGGTGACAGAATTTATCAATGATAAATGTCAATTAGGATTCTGTGAGCACACTGAAGAACCAGACATGTGTAAATTGAATATTGAAAATGTTAGACGAGTTATTTGAGAATTTCATTGGGAATATTAAAATTACTGTAACACTTAGAAGTCACCATTAAATTTTAAAAAAATTTGTACGAAAAGGCTTACGTGTTTTATGCTGAGTGCCAACAAGTAAAAAGTTACCAGATGGATGAAAATGTAAAGTTCGTATTGGGGAAGCTTCCTAAAGAAAGAAAAAAAAGAGCGAACAATTATTAGAAAATATTGACAAAATGCCAAATTAACAAACGTATAATGAAATGAAAAATTCCAAATCGATTTATCTATGTGGTAATATCATTTGTACTTAAGAAAAACAAAGATAAATAAATAAAATATTCATATACACGCAAAGGAAATGATTTCCAAAGAAAACATGTTACTGAATAAACAGTTTTCTTGTTTCATTGATCAATAAGTCTTCAAGAGAAATTATTAGAGATATTCATTTCTTAACAATTTCATACTGTGGTTAGGTTATTTTTAGAAAAAAACATGCAAATAACATTTACACAAAGATACAGGGAATAGATAGTATGGATACAATCAATTATTATGAAACTCATGATTAGTTAATTTCTAATTATATTCTAAATGTTTCTAACCATTATAGTCAACTTTGTAAAAAAGATCAAAAATTAACTGGTCTTAAATATGGTACTGGGTTCGAGTCCCTGGGTGAACATCAACTCTGAGATGCACGTACATCCAGATGACGAGTCCCAAATAGGAAGAAACGCGTGTCCTGGATTTCACTGCTAGCCACTATTCATCATTGCTTACAAAAAGGCCTATATTTTATTTCAATCAATTATTTAATTTCCTAACTAAAATTTATGATTACTAAGATGGTAAATTTAAAAGTGAATAACACATTTTTACATTCCAAAATAATGTTTTATAGTTTTGATAAAGAATATTGTGATGGGAACAATTTTTAAAGATTGTTTTCATTACCTTAGTCAATAAATATATAAAGTGAAATGATAGTATGTAATAGAGGATAAAACATCTATCTAGCCACGAGATGAAAACTATTCAACCATAATATGCTTGTATCAATCTAACAGTTCACTTAACTTAAAAATTCAAGTAATATTGTCCCGACACTCATTACAATCGTTAGATTGCAGTGATAACGGGTTGTAAAAACAGGAGTGAATTTTGAATGGATAAAGACAGGATGTAAATGAAAACAATCTAGTCTAATTTAATGATTAAAACACTTGACTTCCAAGCCTTGATCAGTGGAAAAAAGGGAACAGATCAACAAAAATCGAATCAAAGAAAGATATCTTTAAACCTATTTCATAATTGATTAAGAAATAAGACTAGAGAACAACTTCTCCGAGGTTCCATGACGAGTTGTGTTTTCACTACACCACTCAATAATTTGTAATATAACTGTCAAACAAAAGGAAGTTGAAAGTTTCCAGTTCACAGAGTAGTACATAGTACAGGTTAGTTAACAACAAAACATAACAAATGTGGCCATTTTTAAGCAAAAGAACATTGTCAGAGTAACATAGTAATATTCCACTTCAGATTTGACAACACAATGTCAGGGTTAAGACTGCTTAGTTTGATATGTTCCTTAGAAGTAGGATTTAGAACTGTAATAAATTAACAGCATAAATCATAACTTCCTAATGGTTTTCAGTCATCCAGCATTAAATAAATTACAATACAGTATCAAGTCATTAAAGTTAGTGGTTATATGTTAAATTTGACCGACCACTTGCGAGGATTTATACATAATAGGTGTATTATAGTGAAACAATATAATTGATTAAATTATTGAAATAACCAACTGGACACATTGTTCATTGAATCTACCGAATAGATTTCAATAAACAGACTAGCTAGATGTACGAAACAATTAAAACTATCATTCACGCAAAACAGTATGAATAACATTAAAACAACTGTAGTTTAACTGTATCATCCACACCCACTCACTCATGATGAAAAAGTTTTCACATCTTTCTCCCTTTGTACTGTTTAAACCTGTCGTTAAATAATGGTAATAATCATAAAAATATTATGATCGCTTATGATTGTTGTTTCAGAGTGGATATAAAAAGCCAATAATTTATGCAGTGTTTGTCATTTTAAAAACACCGAGCTCCAGTAGTCATACTGCCACTAGTTTGGATTCAAGTTGTTCGAACGTAATTACAGACAATCAGTTTATTACGTGAATATATTTCTAAAATTATTATCATTATCAATGCCAATATCCTACATGTATACTAATAGTTCAATTGGTTTATATCATTACTTTGTAGATAATGAATAAAACACAATGAAGTTACGGACATAATGTTATGGATGCTGATGAATAATGTGCCAATCATTATCATGTTAAGTCTAATGATGTCCTTGGACGTTAAATGAACATTTCCTATTGGCCGTTATTTATTTCACTCGTTAAATATTGTGTAAATGTTGTTTTCTATTTTATGGTACGATGTGGTTTGTTTGTTTGGTATATAAATAGAGTATGTCTGAAATATAATGATTCATAACTCAGAGGCTGTGACATGCGTTTTAGACTCAACTGGCTGGGCAAGACAGGGAAGCGGGACCAATCGGGACACTAGATCGTTCACTACGTGTTTTCCGTGTCGCTGTAATCGATCAATAAAACGCTGCTTATCGTAACCTGCAGTCCACACGTTACAACACATAACATAACTATGAGTTGTTCAGACGACATCTATTGATATTCATGTATAATAGGAATTAAACAAATTACGCTGATAAATAAATAACAAACAGAAAAGTAATATTAAATGTATGCACACATAGAAGCACACATAAACATGTATGAAGAAAATTGATTTTCAAGTAGGCGATAGTTTATTTGGTTAGTTCATAAATAATGAAATCATTCAATAATAGATAACATATGATCTGGCACAAATGTGCTTTAATCTACGATGCCACATTTTATGACAGAGTAGTAAGAGAAGAAATTAATAAGATTAAAAGCAAGTCAACCGAAATAATATCAATTACTATGAATATATATATATTAGTAATAGGAAGGGTTGTGGATTTTACAGTTGGTATCACGGACTAATTTTGTCTGGAAAACCATTGAAAACTATGCAGCACTCAAATTTTTTTCGTTCCAGTATGGGATTCTAAGACGTGCTCAACCATGACCCTAACAGGGAACTGACCTAAAACCTTTAGTTCTTGGTATGAGTGATTAGCTTTTAGACCGTTGAGCCAGCGACAAATAGTTTACATTTCTCAATTCAGTCAATATGGGATATTGTACAACCATCATCCTATCCCATTGGTGAGTAACTCCTTCACTTCCAACACAGTTGAAAGCCACTGATCATAGTTTATCATTGGAACTCCGGAAAATAACTCTCGAAGCTAAACACTAGTGATCAGACGATTATTAATAGTATATGGTGTTTTAGAAGATTCAACTTTCCAGTTTGCATCACAAACTGGCTGTAGCTAAATACAAAATATGGTTGGAAAGGAGTGAATAAGATCAGGGAATTATGGAGTGACATTAAACTTAAGGTTTGCGAAAAGATAGATAACGAATACAACTCCACCACCATGACTGATTTTCATTTATACCATTCAACTTGTACAATCAAAGAGTCTACACCTTTTAACGTGGTTTGACCAGAAACTAATGATAATGTGATCTGGCGATATATCTTTGCTTGAGTACCTTCAGCGCTCCTAAACGTTATTCTTATGCTAGCCAGTATAGTGGCTCAGGGTAAATAGTGGTTGGGGATATTTAACATACCCTCAGCAACTTCATGAACTGATTTATGATCCGTAACTAGTACCCAACGTCTAACCTATACATTGATCACTTGATTATTCTACAATCTGCGAACAACGCCCATAAGATATCTATGGTCAAATAGTACTTTAGCAGTTAAATATCGAGCAGGAGGTGAGAGGAATTGATTACTAAGTCTTTACTTGACAAGTTATTCGACTTAAACTCGGTAGAAATGAATTGGAACATTCAAAAAGTTATAAATACGATCATAAGAATCACATGTTAGACTTAAATAATTGCCTTGGTGTGATTATGAGTTATAGATGATACGGAAGCTGGGAACAAGGTTCAACAAGATATAAAAATCATGAGTTCAACCCTAAAATATAACGAGTGTTTACTAATGTTAGATTTAAAACACATGCCGTGTACCATCGAGAATCCGATGATTTCCAAAGAACATAAGTTCGAGATGATACAAAAATGAATTAGGTTATAAGAAATATACACATACCAATTTGTCGAAGCTACTTACCGGAATATTTCGTTGAGCTTTTTTAACAGATGGATTTGAGAAGTCAAACAGTTTGATTGTATAATCTTTACTTCCGCTAACAAGGATTTGCAGCGTTGGATCTGGATGGAAATCTACACATGTAACTTCCTACAAAATTTTTCGTTAAAAATGGAGACGATTGGTAGTATGGTAAAACGAAAGTTGGTTAACTACGTTAATGCAAGAAAAAACAAAATTTTACAGCAGCTTCATCATTAAGAACATGTTTGTGCATCCGTCTTTAGGGTAAAATTTAGTTGTGTGAGTGATAGTTGTATCAACAGATGGTTATCAGAATAAAATAAGGTGGAGTCAACTTCGAACCTGGAAAATTGTAGCTGAAATTCCATCAATTTAACCATTAAGCTACTACTTCTCAAAGAAGCAAAACAATTCTTGATACTGATTATCTGACTACATACAACCTTAATCTGTTCAGTTCGTGTGTCAGGGTAGCTGTGTTGGTGTTGGTGATGGCGTGTCAGATGAGATGAACCTACGTAAAGTCAAAGCTAGAGCAGTTTAAGCCAACATAAACCACATTTGGTGCCGTCATGTTATTCTGGCTGCAAAAGATCGGGTTTACAACGCGTCGATGAGAGCACTTCTGCCCTATGCAGTTGATAATATTCGACAACTCTTTTTGTGTGATCCTCATTGTCCCTGAAGGATTGATGAATCAGTGGCAACAACATGTTAATATGGATGTTAGGTAATGTGTTCGGGCACAGCGACAATAAATGACTTGGTGTCAACATTTTGAAACACTGGCTTCAGTTGATTGAATATGTGTTAAGAATGTCATCCTAGAGACCTACATATTGCGCATAATTTACTGATAGAAAAGCGATGAGGTGGCCAGTTTATTAAAAAGCCATAGTGTACGAGAGAAAGCTGTATAGGACTGACTTCTATCGGTCTATCATGATTTCCTGGTTGGGGTTCGAGAGGCAGTGCAACCTAGTGGGCTTTAGACCTTATCAAACATGACTCAAAATAGAAACCAATGACGATCTTGAGGCAATATCTTCATACCTTAATGTGGAGTCGTTGGGTGCATACAAACAGTACGCACTATAATAATTTAAAATTGGAATGAAATATCAGTCCCGTAGGCTCATAAATGTTGTTATCACTGGTCCACCAGCTCATTTGTCAATCTGCGTGACTCAAACTATCTTGTGAAAGGGCAATTGATAAAACTATAGCGAATAAATAGATTGAGGTTATCCGCAACATTTGGAATATTTAGTGAATTGTAACTGGCACTTATAGTCACTTTCCCATCCAGCGCTTGATATCGGTGTGAAATTTTCGATAAGGATTTTTTTCCAAGTATCTGGAACTATCCACAATTGTCTTTTTTGAAAATGTCAGTATAGCGCAGCTCAACGGGTTGATTCATTATCTGCGGTTATCAACAACGCTAAAAGTGTTCGTTATGTTATGTACAGCACTTTCTGTCGTCTTTCCGTTCATTTATTACGATAGTGCTTCATGCTAGTGTGTGATTTTCATTGAAAAATACATTTCAAGCCGTAACTTTGACAATATTGTGCATGTCACCTAATATGTTGAGCTGCGCTATACTGACGAATTTCCGATGAAAATCACACTCTAATAAGCAACACTTCCTTAATAAATGAACAGAAAGTGCCGTACATAACATATTGAACATTTAAAGCGCTGCTGATAACCGCACATAATAAATCGATCAGTCATTGTCAATGTAGAATGGGGCAAAAATATGCATTGGCCCAAGTTGTCATAACTTAAGCCAATAAGTAAAAGGCAAATAGAATATGAAATAAGATTTATCCAAAATCTAGTTTTAACACTATTAAAATTTTTCGAATGGAAAACAGGGCGTTTACAAAAGTACACAAACCACAAATTGAAATGCATTAGAAACATTATAAGTGTAAATACAAAAATAAAACAAACAAAAAATAGGAAACTTATTTAGATAATAATTAAGGAAAAAACAATTAGAGATAAATGGGATGGTTTTGAACTTGATTATATTCGCAAAATGGTTAAGAAGAGAGAAGAAACTCGTAAAATTTAGAAAAAGAAGAATTGTACACTTAATTTTCAATAATAGGTTTCTATGGGGTGAACAAAAATACTTATCTAAAATATACTCATGTTTTAATGTTACGTATGATTGTATTATTAAATATTTTATTACTAAGTCCTATATAATTTATTCGTTTTGTAAGAAACTTCTAGATTCGATTCAAATACAACATTGAATATAGCTCTTTAGTCTTAGCGTGTGTTATGCTAAAAAATGAAAGTTGCTATGATGACTTATTGAGAGACCTTAACGAAAACCACTTTAGACTGGCAGCGATTATGCGAAAGTACAAGTAGCTAAGTGAATTGTCCATTTAGCAAAGTTCATTTCACACATGTTTCGGTTTGTCTGGTAACATATAGAGATCAATGAATACTGACTCCTTACAAGAAAGCTTCCCACTCAGTTTTGATCTGAATCGTGGAAAAATGCATAATCCGTTTTAGTGACCAAGTCAGATTGGACAATACAGTATATGTACTCTATTTAGTGGCAACTACATAAAAAGACACACATAACTGTATTGTATTTCCATGAATTAACTATAAGCATTCATTCCCTGATCGAATAAACCTTACAGCTAGTACCTTGGATTTATATAAGAATTTGTTACAGACTGATAGGCATCATAAGAAAAGATTACTCGTCTACTGCACACAGGTCTACACACTGCTGGTGTATGTATAAAACGTAAACACACTGAATCATACTTGCACAAAAGCTACCGTACCAGTATTATTTATATTATTTTATTTGAACATATAGATATTGGTACAAGAAGGCACCAAATACATATGCGCCACACAAATCTCATTTGATTTGTGTGAGAGCAGTGATACTGCCCGGGTGTCCAAACCGAAGCAGGATCGACCCAGTAAGTGTAATATGATTGACTATAAAGATAGATTTTATAGCCACAAGACACATAGAAAATTAAAAAACAAAGTGGAGAAATTCTAGGAACAAACTGATGGTGAAATCTGTGAGCATATCAACAGATACCACTGCAGTATCCCATAGATACATTACAGCCGATGTCAACGGTTGGCCTCTTAGCTATCTGTCAACTGCCGCTGAGATGCAATCAAACATAGATCGATCAAATTCATGTGATAATTGCCTTCTTTATAGGTGAAATAAATACTAGCCATCTATGATCAAGAGACCTCAGGATTCATATCATTTCGTGGGGGAGATTGTACGATGCCATAGGGAAGTCTGAATTGATTGGAGATAGAGTGACCCATAGACCGATTTCCTCCAGTTGCTTATCACATTTTATTATATTACATTTGTGTTTATATTTTGTATATAAGTATGTCATCTTATTGAAAGAAGGAGCCTATTCCATTGTCTACTGTGGACTTTGATTTCAAATCGTTGTGAAGCTCAAATCAATAATCTGATTCCCCGAGCAACCATCAATCAGTCATATCACATGACTGAGTTCATCAATCGACCAATACTTTTTCTTCTTTCATTTTAACAATCGAAAATTCGCTTCATGAAACCAAAAAATCCTACTTAATAGTATATATGTACTCAAATGAATTTGAGATCATATCTTCAAACATAACTAAAGATTTTTACTCACAAATAGATTCTGTGCACTTGACTAAGCCATCTCCACATACAAATACATTTAGGCCTAGCCGGATAACATATCTTTCCTATCCAGAAATTATACGTAAAATTCCAGATTTACTTGATTAGCTTACACGCTAGCTAAACTATGAAGTGAATGATGAACATAAAGCTGTAAACTTCTTGACCTATTATAATTTTAAAGTTATTTTATATGATGAAAGTTGATTGTGACTTGCTCAACTAAAACAACTTTCAAACAATTATTTTTGTTGAAAGACTACAAATGAAAGTATGAAAGTTTTATAATGCACTGATCGATTCCAACCAATATCTTGATAATTATCTTTATCCAGTTTAAGAAATCAATAAAGCATAAGAACCAAATTAGAAGTTATCTACACTAGAAATCTAATAAGTACTTGTGATTTATTAGTTTCAATATTTTGAAAAACCATAAAAAGGATAACACATAAAATAAAACTATTACCCTGTTAAACTAGTCTTTCTGAAAAACTTTTCTAAGAGTATGTATGTAATGGTTTCATATTTGAAAAATCGTATTTTTCTTTTATAATGAACATACATTTACATCTTTACTTGTAGCTATTAATAACAATGATGATAAAAAAACCAATACAAGAAATGGAATAGATAATTAGTCATAAATGACAATCATCATATGATCTGGAGAGATTTCGTTTTTCTTTTCTTTTCTGATATTTAGAAAAAGAATAGAAATTCTTATTAAGGTCAGGGCATTCGATTATAGAATAATGTACAGCGAAAATGACGTAGATTTTAAATAAATCAATAAATGGTTGGTACAATTCAAGATAATAATAATAATAATTGGTTACTTTTGACATACCATAAAAATCAATAGTACTGTACAGTGGTAAATACAAACTGATTATGTAAATAAGAAAGTTTATTATTTTAAAGCTGTTAAGCATGGAACCCTGCTACATAACTTAAGATCCAGGAGTAATAACACAAATAACTCTAAACAGGAATTCACCGTATAACTAGACCTCAACAATCAGAAGTTTAGAAAGTTTACTAGTACTCCAGCCAACAATAAAAATATGAGGGTATTTATAGAACGTTTTGAGGTTCCCCTGAGAATCAACTAACAAGAATGATTTTCAGGGTGTTGTATATGAAAAAGAAACAGCAAAAAAGTATATTCTTTGACTGATTATGATTACCTTTTTTATCCATTGAAATAACAACTAGACATCAATTTTCAGATTTAACTAAATTGATATTTAACACTAGCTGATTTAAATATATTGTTTCATAATTGTGGTCCAAGAAGACAATTATTGAGAACAACTGTCTACATATTTTGAATACTATACACTTGATTAAATCTGACATTTGGAGAGTTGAATGAGAAAAAACTGATATTTTGGCCATGTGTTATGAACAAAATTAATAGCAATGGAGAAAATAGTTGAAAATATATAATTTATTTAAAATAACTCAACACTGCATAGCTGTAAAACGTTTTTTTTTCTTAAAAAAGAAACTCATGTAACTTACAGCTGTATGATCATAAAGTGTTCGTATAACTGGATGAGTCTCCATTTGTTGTTGAGGTGTCTCTTGACCTAAATGGTCAGTTGGTGAGACACTTTTGGCTAGCATTCGTTCAACATCAAGTATCTAAATACACGTGATTTACAATTTAAAAACAAAATAAAGTAAACGGTAGGCAAATGAAATTAGTGAAAACATATTATGCTTACTACAAGATCAATCTCTTCAATAATATTACTATCCAGTTATCTAGGTCGAAGAAGGTATGAAACTAGGTGCTATATAAACTAAAGTACCGTGGACAGTTCATCAGTGATCACTTTGATAATCTATCCGTTTACTGTGCAATAGTGATAATAATAATAATAATAATAATAATAATAATAATAATAATAATAATAATAATGAGTAATGCAACATGTTGAGTGCAAGTTTGTATACTTGAGCTTAAGTCTTACTGTCTGTGAAGGCTATCGATACGAAATAGCTGCTCGACTAAAATGGAGTTGGCTTCCCAGCAATCCTCCCTGCTTGTCATTTTGCTCTGTTCCATTACATTCACTTTACATACAAAATATATATATCCAAAGGCCATTCTCGTTAATTGACTTATTTAATTCGGTTATTGGCTAACGCGATTTAAGTCGACGATGATAAACGAGAATCAGCGATAACAAACATCTATACGATCTTGGAGTCAGATCGAAATGGCCACAAAAATTGAATACGGTAAAAAGTAATGATTTCTATAACCATTAAACCAAATAGGTTGCATAAGTGGTCGACCAAAAGACGCCTAATTTCCATTTTTAGTAGAGTAAACAACTCCGAGTCAAAAGGAATAACTTACTCAGTATATCACTTTTTTAAAGACTTCAACATGATATTGTGCTTATAAGAACAGAAAGTCATACAAAAGAAACTAATTTACTTCTTACCTTGATCGAAGAATCATGAGATCCTGTTGCAACTAACTGACCTAACAAAAGGAAAAATTAAAACAATAGAACGACGAACAGTTAGTTTACAAACACTTCAACCTTTGATTTAAAAGAAGTCGACAATTTAAACGTTATTTTCCACTAAGTAAATATTAAGATCAAAATATTTCAAATAATCTCCAACACAGATTTAAACAACTCCACTCCAATAAAAAATCCAGTGTATGTGGTTAACGAAAACCGAGGCGATAATAATGACAGTTCAACATAAAACAATCACAAATTTGATAAAAATGTGGACCAGTATACCCAGACCAATAATTGCACTGGATTTCTTGATTGGTCAATAATCTCTATAGATAACATACTACTGGTTATAATTTAATGACTGGCTTGTATTAATTATAATTTGGTGCAACACGATGGTCAGCTGAAACCTGAAACAGTTAGTGCTTAATTCAATAAATTTGAGGTCGGTTAATGTAAATACAATATTGGAATGGATAATTAGTCTAATTCAAGATTTACATAGAATACTAGTGAACTTAATAAACACTAAAAGCTAGGTCAGATGTTTTCTGTTACGTTCATGTAAACGTCTGGCACAAAACACGATATAGTTTATAAAAGGCTTATAGGAGAAAGACCAAAGAATATCTTCGCGCATTATTTAGTCATAAAAAATAAACCAGTCTATCAACAAAAACAGTGACATCTTTCAACTACTTTTGTTATTTGCACAAAATTATTAACCGAAAATGTACATCTAAACGGGAAAATATTTTCAAACGGAGTTAAATCAGCTGTTTACAAAGTTATTCGTATGACATGTAACCCATGTCATTTGGAAATGAAAGAAAGTACTTTTAAGTCATTTTCACATATCTGGATATATATATATATATATATATATATATATATATATACTTAGTTTTTAATATTATTTAAAAATATGGTAATTTAGATAAATAGTTCAGTGGTCAATGCTGCCGTAAACTGACGGTCTTAAGTATCACCGTGTATCTTTTGTATTAAATATAACTAAACATCCAAAATATTATTTGTGCATCCAGTTCATACAATAACGGCATTGTATCTAAATACTTGCCTTAATGATAAGCAGATGAAGGGGAAAAAGTCAATAAGAAGTGTTCAGAATGTTCACTGTAGAAATTTCGGAAAATATGACCACAAATCTACTGAGGAAGAGAAATGCTTTGGAGAAAAACATCCTTATATCTGAAATCAATAACATAGGTTTCTGATATTAAAATCAACACAATAACAATTCCGTAAAATCCTGTCCATTCCTATACTGACCTACGCTCAGGAAAATGATTATTTTTCGAGATGATTTACTGCAATTTGCACACATGCAAAAATAACTATAACATGATTTCTACAAGTGTTAAGCAATGGATTGAAAGTAAAAACCTTCACCGACATTGTGTATGCACAGAACATCACAAAATGGACGACTTTTAAAATTTAGAGCCATCACACTACTAACAATTTATCTAGTAGTTAATAAACATTTACATAAATTTATATTGCACTTTAACTCCAGAATAATAACGATGAAAATAAAAATAGTACATCTTATTACCTGTGCTATTAAAGGATGCTGCACGACAGGCTGCCTTATGTGCCGTTACATAACAAGTTTCATATAGAGCTGCCTCAGGAGCCATTGTAGAACCTGTACGCAAAGTCAACGGAAATATTAAGGAATTAAGGTTTGTTACGCAACTTGTACCATAGTTCTAATATCATATAGAGGCTTTGAAAACGTTAATTTACCATAGATTTCACAAGAATCCTGTACAATCACACAACCGCAAATGATTGGGTTGCTAGTTCGAGATGTTATTAAATCTGTAGAACTTAGTTATTTTCAAAGAATTTTTTCACTTCATCAACTACCGTGTTTTCTAAATCAAACAGTTCCAACAGGTTCAAGTTCACTATCGTGAGGACCCAGACAATTTATATCAGGAGTCAATGGCTGTCAAATGCGTTTCCTAGTTTCACTGAATTTCAAAACTATATCCAAACAGGCATCAAGAAGCTCAATAACCGGGTCAATAGAATGTTGATTACGTGGAGTAAATCAGGACTGAAGCTGATTATTAAAAGGATGTTCTTGAAAGTAATAAACAGTCTTAATACTAATTTTATTGTTGTATTTTATTCAGATTACAAATGACTATTGTATTTTTGCTACATTAAAATAGAGTACTATACACAGAAAACATTTATTAATCAGATCTAAGAACTTTTAACCAATAACTTCAAGTTTACGCCTAAAATGTCAAAGTCCGTATGCTTTTCGGTAAACAACTATAGTGCTTTTGAGTGAGGAAATAACGCTAGTTCAGTTTATAACAATGACAGACTATGGAGTAGATATAAAGGCTACAACTAAGTTACATGATGAAATTTAATTTTCTAAAAAGCTCACAATTCGGAAATTAATTTGCACAATAACTAAAACAACATTTGCTAAATAATAACTCAATAACCAGAAACCACCAACAAAAAGTGAATTCCAGGAAGTATAACCTACTTTCACTCTCAACTTCCAGATCGATTCCCGTGCCTGGGGCAATACTTTCACCTTCAATAACGCCTGACTTTTCATGCTCATCTGAAACAGTAAAAACAGTTTGTGTAAACTGAATTCCGAAATGAGAACAAGTAAAGACAAGGAACATAACAGTCTAGCCAGACGTCCAAGGTTACCAATAGTGTTGATATAAGGCAAACATTCACAGTTCCCATGGCCCTGAATGTCTCTGCATCCAACATTAATGTGATTCCTAACAGAAACACATGCAGGCAAATCGATCTGAAGTTTGACTTCGCTCTCTCTGCAAACTTAAAAACAAGTCTGTGATATCGTTAGTACTTGCGGGCATGTAAAAACTATATACGAACGATATACCGATCTCCAAACAGCTATTAGAAACAACTTTTAGTTCCATTCTGACTCAGTATGACTGAATTATATTGATGTCAATGAAGTACACGTACTCTCTTTAAGTTTGCACAAATTTTGTTGACTTGATAAATTTAGAGCAATGGTATATCGTGTCAGATACGAGTGCTTCGGGTGAATGTATTCCACATATTCAAGTCAGCAAGCAGACGAAACATGGCAAATGTAAACTGGGGTGGCGTAAATAACTAAGTAAATAGCAGGTAAAGAGATAAGCAAGTATACGAACACATGCGTACTATCACACATCTATACCCAAGGTCAAATTAATAGATGATAGAATAACTGGAAAAATTAAAGCAATTTATCTAACCAGTGGTAAGAACGGATCACGCAGGCATTTAACTACGTTTATTCGTGACAGAGGGTTTTCAGCTAGGTGTTCAGTAAAACTAACGAGATCAGCATCAATGTCGAGGACTTACGGAACTATTTGTTTTTTGGGATTTATTTACCGCTACACCACTTAATTCTATATGGACGATCGGGTGTTGTTAACTCACACAACGTGGCTGAATGACACTATGCTTATTAGGTCAATCACATAAATAATGATTATAATAAGTCACATTATAAATAGCCCAATTATCACGAAGTGAGTTATGAATACTTGATTGAATACTACAAACTTACAGCAAATACTTAGACCAAAAATCACTCTACACAATTGGTGTTTTGCACTCACTTAATAGAATGACCATTGTGAGTGAACAGTGATAAGTGGAAGAAATTGTTATAGTTATTTAGAAACCATTCAGGTACTCGAAGAATTCCATCAGACCTTCTGACTACTTAGCCACTATGACGCCAAAAATCTTGCGGTTTACAACTACTCCTTCAGTCTTATAGAACCGAAAAGATTTACCTCAGAGCCCATATTTATGTGTAAATTTATGTAAACCTACTAAACCTTAATACTTGGGACTGTCCATGCAGTTAAATGTGGATTTTTACCTGGGCACAAACAGGCATGTGAGACCGACAAACAGTTGATTATCAAACATGTGAACGAGTCTACTTTAAGTAGATCTTAAGCAAAGCCAATCATCAAATATCTGGTGAAATTCGCACTACTGCTATAAATACCAGTTAACTTCAGTGAGTTACAAATGATTTGGTCAGATTTGCGATTTCAGCCCACCCAAACAGGTGAAATCAGATCCATTAATGGACGCCTTTAAAGAAAAACTGGATAGTAACGATTAATGTATTTCAATTAAACTATTATCCCCACGACTGAAGACTGAGACATTTTTATTAGAATACACAATGAAAGATTAAGATAGACAGACTCTAGAATCCGGCAGTGGATACAAAATCAACTGAAATAATTCTGGGGAAACAAACTGTTGGAGTAAATTATGTTACCTTCAGAAGCAGAAAGGCCAAGTTTTACGAGACGGAATAGGCGATTGGATGGACCACATGCCGCTGAAGGACTTACTAAATTAACCAGATTAACAGCCATAGTCTGAAAACCATCATAAAACAGTTGACTGAGCTGAATATATTTAGAAAGAAAATGTACCTAATGATAAGACGATACAGCAAATCCCTTTCTTTGAAGGACATTAGTAGCGCAAACTGTTGTATTTTGTAGCAATTATTAAACAGTTCAACTTGAGAATACCTAGGGATTAGAGGCTTGAATCACAGTCTCTGAACCTCAGTCTACAGTAATAAGGAAACGAGGTCTGTTGACCTATATAATCTTCACAGTTTGTAACACTGTGGAGGTTCAATCTCGTTATGAATATATCAACGAGTGTTGACATTACGTGTTCTGGTAGAGGATTCCAGTAACTCACTACCCGGTGAGAGGAAAGGAACTCCGGATGTAGCCGATTTGATTTCGATTTCTGGGCTTTCTTCGAAAATCCTCTCAAACGATCAGTCCTAGGCGGGAGGAAAAGATAAGACATATTAGTGCCAAGGTCGTCGTTCAGCATACGACAAGATAAAAATCAGATCACCCCATAATCTGCGATAAGATGATGGATATAAGTTAAGGTGCCTCAGCTTGTCTTCATAAGATGGACCAGAGAGACCTTTTACCAGTTAAGTCCTTTGTCGTTGGACCCGCTCCAGTATATCCGCCTAATACTTGAAACAAGGACTCGCTATTTGAATCCCATATTCTAAATGCAGTCCCACGAAAGTCTGGTAAAGTACTTTAAATATTTCTTCATCCAAATGCTGAGAAGACCTTTGAATAGCCCCAATACTCTGAAGCCTTTGGCAGCAGCCTTGCAGTTGCTCGTTATTTTGGGGTAATCCTTATAATGACTCCTAAATCTTTATAGTCCATTACCTTAGATAACAACTCCACGTATTATGTAGTGATACGAACAATCACAGTTATTAATTGTATCACCACACTCTTGTTAGAATTCACTTTTAGTGACCATCTGTCCATCCATGCCACCAATGAATTGAGATCATACTGTAATACTATTCTGTCTGTCATTGTATGGGTCTCCAAATCTTTGTGCCATCGGCGAGGAGTAGAACAGATGGCTTAGCTGCAGTTGACAATTCATTTACATAAAGTAAAAAGAAACGAGGACCAGGGAGACTCGATGTTCTACAGGTTCCCACTCTCAAGGAGCTCAATTTATACTTAACCGCTGTCTCCTATCACAGAGAAAGTCACTTATACATTTTATGATGTTATAATGAATTCCAATACTTTCCAGTTTTGATTTAAGACCCATGTGACAGACCTTGTCAGAGGCTTGATTTAGGTCTGTGAAAGTTACATCTACAGGAATATTACTAACTTTTGTTCCAGTACAACCTTTTCTTGCAATGAGCAAATTTTTCAAACATGATAGGCCTTTCCTTAAGCCGTGTTGTTCTGTGAATAAAAGATTTTTCTGTTCCACATAACTTAAAATAGCCATCCGAGTGATGTTTTCCATAGGTTTGACAACACTGGTTAGACTAACAGGTTGTTAGTTACCAACTAAGTCTCTGCTCCCCGACTTATACACAGAACTAACTATTGGGTCTTTCGGCCTACGCGGTACTAGTTATGATACAAACGAGGACGTAACTGAAATAAGCTTGCCTTTAAATACAGAGCGTGCTTCTCCAACTGACGAGTTAGTATCTACTGACCAATTTGTCTTTGCAGCTATCCATACATTTGGGTGAGGCTCAACCTGATCGTCCTTCAAGTCACTAGCTCCAAATGTGAATGATAAAACAGCGTGATTGCTAATCGCTAACAATAGAAGAATATTTTGGTTGGCAATATCATCAGTCTCATGAGTGATTACCCAGTCTGACAAAGAAGATCCTCGGTTTGGACCGAAACGAGTGAGTTTGGATACATGCTCTACTAATGCATGCTTCATTACCGTTATCTGGAACCTACTATCAAATGAGTTTGTAGATAATACAGTGGCCATTTCGGCCCAACTATTCTCAGGTGCAATAAAGTCTCCTTATATCAGCATGTGTTATTTGCACTACATAGGTGAAAGTGCTCCAAAATAAATTCACCAGCTAGGCACCGAGTAAAAGTGTGCAACATCTGATAGTCAGCTCATAGATAAGGACTTCACAAGTTTCACTATCATGGTATTCACAAGCAAAGAAGCTGATGTATATATTATTGCCAGTGTATAAAAGGATGCCACCTACATCTACGCCTATCACTGTTAAGTACAGGCATTCGGATAATTCTGGAGTAATGTCGATTTCGTGGACTAAGCGAGTTTCCGTCACAGGTACAACGAGTGACCTTGTAGAATTATGGTCCACTATGATATTAGTACTGCTCTTATAATAGACCTAATCCTAAATTTGTAGATTTGTCATGATATAACTGCCTAATCTATAAGATCTTACGTGGAAATCACACCATCGACTACGCCAACTCACTGTATCGTATCAATTACCAATACATGGTGTAGAACAAGGTTAGGCTAGAGAAAGAACAATATATTTAATATGAATAGAAGATATAAGATAACATTCAGCATGTCCACGCCTGCATGGCCGAGTCATGCCATCCGATCAACTCCAGTTCATTCCATTCATTGTTCCCGCCTTTTCCATCGTTAGGTATTTATCCGTGTTAAATATTGAATATCTATTTTCCGAGTAGTGTTGTGTTCAGCTTTGAAGATTGTGTGGTTATGGTCCAATGTCACTACACTACTCTCCCACCAGAATCAACGTGATGTTGGTTCGATACCGAATTGGATGGGATCGTCGTGCGCCGAAGGTTACCAAGACTAGGAAGAATCCCCCGAGTAATGATAAGCTGAAAGATAAATGAAAAAGGAAGGCGGCAGCATCTGGTCGGGAAATACATGTAATAATTTTAAAATATCTGCCTTCATGCTTAAAACGCTTGAAATGAAAATTTGGGTGAAGATTATTTGAGCTATAAAGAATGGGGTTACAATAATAAAAATAAAAAAATAATAATAATGAAACGATGCGTGTTAATAGCCGTTGGTTAATAACTTAACGTATAGGTAGTAAGTATTTTGTGTTTAGAAATATTAAAGTGATGAATATTGTAGAAATGTCAATATTGGTATTAGTTTTGGTTTAAATTATGAAATCAGATAACGATTATGCCGGTAAGTTGTCCATAAGATTTGAATTCCAATTGCATCTGTATTAGTAGGCTAACTGAAGGAACAAAAGTATGCCGTGGAGAAGAATTCCAACTAGTGTTCCAGTTAGTTTGATACGGTTTATTTAGTTACGGGGAGATTTTCTCAACCTCATTTTTACTTGACCGTGATAGAATTTAGTAATACTACTAATACACATGAATGTTTATCAAAACAAAATTTAAATACGTAAGTGATGATTATATGAATTTTGGACAGATAGCTAGGAACAAATCGTTAAACATGAGTGTATTCGTAAGAGACATGCTCTAGACTCAATGTTCTGATCTGTGGCAGACTATTTATTTATATTTATACTTGCTGGCTGATTGGGCATACAAGTTAGTTGCAAGTATGCAGTTTATCATAAGGCGGAATACGCTTTAATTGAGATATAGTGGTTATAAGTTATTAAAATCAGTTAAGCCTATGGGTCATATTACGAAGTGATGTGGTGCTGCAACATGTATTTAGCTAAATAAGTTTTTACAAGATGATTAACAGTGATTGATGCTCATGTGATTATCAGGGAGAACATAAGTTGTAACCAAGGGGAGTACACTCCCAACTCATGTCTATGATAATGGCTTGAACCTTAGTCAGTGTTGGGGTAAATTCGACATTGATGTTTTCAGTTTGCAGGAGATTTGCTCGACTGCTTATACTGATTATTTTCTTGCATGATTGTGTCGCTAAACCTCCAATTAGACTGACAAGGTTTTGAGATATTTACTGAATAAGCAACTGATAGAGAAACATACTGTAATTATCTGTAGTGAATGAAGATAAAAGAAAAACAACACTAGTGATAATTATAAGTCAATTTGCTGACCGATTTTGTTAATAGTTTCATTAATTTTATCAATCATATTACGTGATTGTCAAGTCATGACAATGCTTTATGACGATATCCTGAAACTATTATGTTTAACTAGTTATAGTGTTGAATGAGGATTAGTCAGTGGAAAAATAGGTATTGTTGTGATTCGAGATTATCAGAAATTTGTAACGTTAAAGAATCTGAGACGCCTAATTTAATTATAAATTTTAATTCAGAAAGATTCGTTTAGTGTTAATTCTAGTAGGCTACAGAGTTTTGATTTTAAACGTTTGTTCAGCCAACAGCTACCTAGGGATTTAGTTATTTTACTACTGCAGTTGATAGTACCTAAATTTTTAATCTTATTATCTAAACTATGTTCGCATTTTAGGCTACTAATATGATACACCAATCCATAAACCCAAATACGATTAGCAACAACGACTATGATGGGTTTATTGATAAATGTTAAAGGCGATTCAGATGATTTCTAAATTCAAAAGATATGAAGATATAGTAAAACGTATGTACGGGCCAGGTTAACATGCAGGTTGTTGACGTATATAAAAATTTAAAAATAATGAACATGACCAGAAAATAATTTTAAAGTTAAGACTGCTTGTGAAACTTTAGGCAGGAATATGATGCGTTATAAACCTTCCATAAGAAGTTACTGCATTTAGCTTAGTGACACTTACAAATATATGGCAAAAGCAACTGAAAAACATATACATGTTAAGTACAAAAAAAATCATCCAGTAAAATAGTTGAACTCGCCTGGATTATTTTTGAAAATTAGATTATTCAGTGGACGACATATATAACGCCATTCGTGAGCAGTAATGATCCAAAAGCATCCAGAATAAAACATGCAGTATGGCAATCACTTCCAGGGTGCTTGATGCTGTTGAGGTTTTTGGGACTCGCTCTGATCAGAACAACTGAATGAATCCAGATAATTGTGTGCCATCTAAAATAAACTTATGATTGCAGAAAACTTATAGCTGGAACTCACCGTATTTTTGGAGAAGTGTCATCCTTGTTGTTTGGCAATGGAACTCGAGAATATGAAATTAGGCAGGCAGTGGTCGGGAGAAAAGATATTACAGGATAGTGCGTAGTTTAAAACAGGATGAGGTGTTAAGTGAAGGAACACTGAGAATTAGATCCAGATAACTATTTAGTCCTTGATCGCATTGTTAGTCAATGTATATTTACGCTATTTACAGGTCATATTTGCTAGAGCTTG